CTATGTGTGTTTCTTTCTTCTTCTTTTTTTAAGTTATATTTTATGGATAAGTGCTTTGCATTTATACCCGCAGGCCAGAAGCGGCATCAGATCCCATTATAGACGGTTGTGAGCCACCATGTGGTTGCTGGGAATTGAACTCAGGACCTCTGGAAGAGCAGCCGGTTATCTTAACCACTGAGCCATCTCTCCAGGTCCCGTACAAACAATCTGTCACCATCACAACATTACACTAACCATGAACAGTGCTAATGCTTTCCACCAAGGCGTGGGGTTTTCATGACAATTCCTCTGCAGCAAAATCTAACGAGTTGGTGAAGTTGGAAAGTCAAGAAATGCAGCTCTTTTTCTGAACATCTGAGACATGGGGCAAGAAAAGAGCACTAGTTCTCTAGCAGGGACTGGTAAGCACCAAACACAGAAACTTGGTGGCCCAAAAAGTTGATCCAAACTTTGCAGGTGCAGCTAGGAAACCTAGTTCTACTTCACTGCAGATTACCAATAGGCAAGAGTCCAGCACTGGTCAGTGGGGGGCAACTTCATCAGACTCTGGACCGAGATGGCAGAGGTCTTCCAGTGTCACCTCATCGCTTCATTCTAAGGACAGAAAAACAGACCCTGAACACACACACACACACACACACGCTCTCACACACCTCACACAACACTCCTCCTGAATTTTGTGCTAAACTCATTGCTTGGCAAAGAGAAAGGGACAGATGACTTGGAGTAAGACTATCTACTTCCTGGTCTGGTTTCACTGTGGACGAAGAATTAATTCTTAGCTTTACCTGTTTTTCAAAGATGGGTTTGTTTGTATCTTCTGTATATGAGGGTTTTGCCTGCATGTGTGGCCAAGACATAACACCGGATCCCCTGGAACTCTAGTTATGGGCAGTTTTGAGCTACCATGTGGGTGCTGAGAATTGAATCCAGATCTTCTGCAAAAGCAGCCAGTGCTCTTAACTGCTGAGCCATCTCTCCAGCCACTAATTTTACAGTCTTTAATACCACTAAAATTAGGTAACTTTTAAACTAAATCTGAATAAACCCTAAATCAAGCCAAAGATCAATATGGAATTCGTACCCCGACTGCCTGGCTGCATTTCATGGTGGTGATCAGCAGCTGCCTGGCAGTTACCAGCGTTACATTGCGGCAAGAGGGTCAGATGAAGATGAAGCCTGAGCCATTGCCCTCCACGAATGATCTTCAAACCTGACTGGAGAGACAGGACCATCAGAGGCCCCAACGACAATAACAGATGGCACAGGGAGTGCTGTTTTGCATCTCAGGTTAAACTGCTGAGAGCAATGAGTGAAAAGAGGGGTTGTCAAAAATGGGACCTGTGCTGCTGCGAGAAGGTACTTACGGTGCTAACGTGGGGAACAGAGAAGAATAGACATTTCTAGGCCAGAAAGAGCAGGCATGAAAACTGGAAGAAGATGCCCCAGTGATTTGAATAAATGGCCCAAATAGGCTCATCTGTTTGAATGCTTAGTTCATAGAACTGTTTGGAGGTGTGGCTTTAGTAGAGGAGGTGTGTCACTGGTGACCATGCTGATGTTTAAATAGTCTCATTTCCCAGCATCTCCTCCATGTGGATAGGATGTGGGTTCTTAGCTGTTGCTGCTGCTCTGCCTTTACTCGGCAACATGGACTGGAACTGTAACCTAATAAAGGTGTTCCTTAGTGAATTGTCTTGGTCATGGTGTCCTGTCACAGCAATTGAACAGCCTGAGGAAGTGGGACTAAGGGGATCTTTAGTCATATATTACCCTGACCAAATAACTGGATTTAGAACCTTGGCCTACCTTTATGCTATCAAATAAAATGATCAAAGATGGGGTGCAGATGGTTCATGTCTATAGTCTCAGCGTCAAGGCAACTAAGGAAGGAGGGTTGATAGGAGTTCAGGCCTAACCTGGTTTGAATAGTGAGTTCTGGCCATGCTTAAGGACAGAATGAGACCCTGTCTCAAAACCTGTCAACAAAACCATGATAAACTCTGCATGGTGATTCATGCCTGTACCTCAACACTCTGGAAGCAGAGGCAGGAGAACTAGATCAAATTCAGGTCTGAACTACGGTAGTGTAGTTCCAGGACAACCAGGACTGCACAGTGCGACTCTGTCTTTAGAAAACAAAAGAATGAATGAGAATGGAAAAATATACAAAACTCAAAAACAACAAAACAATAAGAAAATGCTACCAGCATATATACTAGCAAGACTAGGTAGATGTTTCTACTCATGGAGCACTACAGTTATTCCTTGGGTGTCTATCCCTGGTGTTTGGTTGTGGGACATATACACACACTATGAATATAAGTCTGAATCCACAAGTCCCTTATATAAAAGAGTACGCATAGTGTTCATATGTAATGCATACATACGTTTCTGTACATCTTAAATTACTAGGCTGATTGTAACACAAATCCAATGCACATGCTATGCTGATAGCTGTTATATCTATCTAATATAATCGGTCTAATAATACCTAATACCTAGGGAATAAATGACCATGAAGATAGTCCATATATATTATGTACAAAGGATATTTATTTTTGAAATATTTTTGATCCTTAGTTGGTTCAATATGAGGGTACAGAATCTACAGGTAAGATGAACCAAATCACTGCATATATATCATTGAAATTTAAAGTAACTATAATTAAATGTTAACAACCATAATTGAACAATAATAAATAATATTAATTCTACTTGCCAGATGGTGCTGATTTAATGACTCTACGAAATAAATTTATTTTTATCAGGAATTAATTAGGTTTCTAGATTAATTTTAATATTTATTTTAATTTATATTTATGAGTGTTTTGCCTGCATCTATATATTTATACTGTATGCATGCTGGAGGCCACAAAGGTCAGAAGAGGGAATCAGAGCCCTTGGAATCGGAGTTACAGAGGGTTATGAGCTACAATGTGATTGCTTGAAACTGATCGCTTCCCTGACAGGACAGACAGTTTTCTTAACCTTTAAGCCATCTCTCCAGAACCAAAAAATAGTTTAATGAATTTCTGTTGTGTATTTAGTGCTGTGCCTAGTTACAGTAACAGTTATGAATTTGGCATACCTGCAAAAATATCTGTGAAATACATTTTCTGGTATAGATGATGTCACTGAGAACTGTGCAGGTCTTCCTACAGTGTAGGGGCGCAAGTTTGACTCTGGGTGTGCGTGTAGCAGGCATGGACTCAGGCTATCTCATTCTCTTTTCAACTCCCTGTAACAAATTGCTAAGCTGTCATTTTCGGCATACGTAATCAAAGTCTGTGCTGATACAGCTTAGAAAAACCTTTGCATATGTTTTTGCTCAACCGTGGACAAAGGAGTATGTAGAACAAGTGTGGAAAAATAAGATCTCTTGGCAACCTAGAATTAATTGTTCAAACTAGCCCAAGAAATAATGTCTTGTGGGAGAAATGCCTCGTCGTTTTTCAAGAGAATACAACCCTCTTATTAGATGCAGAAAGTACCCATACTTCAAAGGCCTGTTTTTCAAAAGAGTATACTGAGGTAGAGACTAAGTAACACACTCAAGTTCACATAACCAGCAATGGTGTCACCTGAAAGTACACTATCTTCCCTTAGCAGCATGTCCATAGCAATGTCCAGAAACATGTAGTGTTACCTTGATGCTAGACTATGCCAACCTGAGCCACAGACAGAGAGAGCATCCTGCATCACAGTCAAATGCAGGATGCTTTTGTTAGTGAAGCTGGAGATTGAGCCTAGGGCCTTACTCCTGCTGCCCACACACTCTCTCCTACTGAGCCATGCTGCACCCAGCTTCTTGTCTGTACGTTTCTCCTTCAGAAACTCTCAAGGAATAGATATGTATACATGTATATATAATCATCTATGTGAAAGTTCTAGAACTTACCAAGTTTCAGGATGAGAAGCAGAAGGGGTCCTCTAAGGCCTCATACACGGGCGTACCAGATCAGAGTGGCATCAGGAGTTCAGCCACTCTCTGAAGGTGAAGAGAAACAGTGAGGATGGGGTAGCGAGAAGAAGGTGGCACAGAAACCTGCCAGTACCAGAGGCCCTACCGCAGAAACCTCAGCATATGTGAGATGCTTAGGGCCCCAAGGGTGGCTCCTAGAACTGCCCACATTTAACATGAACTCCAAAGCCAGTCCAGAACAAGAGATTACAGGTCTGTGGGGGCATCAAGCTGCAGCCATGGCCTCTGGGGTCCCTCTGTGTAGATAACATACAGTTGCTCTCACCCAAGGAGAGGTAAGAAAGCTTGAAGTTTTACATACGATCACTCTTAAACACTGCTGTTTCCATGAGAAAGAAATAAAAGGGAAAGGAAATAGTGAATTGTTAAATGGTGTGTGATTTTCCTCTTCTATCCTGCTATTTCCTCATCTAACTTATATACTGTACACACATTTACCCAGCCCCTCCCCCATGTACTTGTTAAAATATGGTATGCTAGGCTTCATGAAATAATGCATGGACACGAGTGCTGCTTCTTATGCTACGTGTCTGCATTTGCTTGGGACATATTTTCACCTGTTGTAAATGCAGAACGGAAACAAACTGAGCCTCTTGTGAAGGCTTCCTCTGCTACTAATCAAATAACAATTTTGGAAATATCCTAGGATTCTGCGTGTTTCCCTTAAGAATAGATCCCGCAACCTGAAATTAGACGTCCCTCAACTTTTAAATGTGAAACCCACTGGAAATCTTTATGAAAAGGAATTCTCCTTTATTGGATCTATGAAATTCAAACAAAGAATAATATGAAATGGTATTAATGGGAAGCCATTCCCTTAAAGGAAAGGCAAAATGGAAGCTTCTCGAAAAGGGCTGAATTACCCGGTGTGCTTCAAAGAATTAACGTGTGCTTGTCAGAAGATTATTCCTCGTGGTATTCTCCTTTTGAGGCTGTGAGAGCGTGACATCTGAGAGATGGGAGACATTGCTGACAGAAATGCCGTGGCTAACACCTTTGTTCTCCATCCCAGGTGCTGAGGGCCAGCTGCCATCAGCTGGAGAAGGTGAATCTGGCAAATGACATGAAGGTTCTTCAAGGCAGACGCATTGCAGGGAAGCTTCAAAGGTATGCATCTGAGTTTTCTCTCTTAACTAATTGAAGTGGGACCACCTGAGCAGTGTGTAGACGGGAAAGTTTGGTAGCTAACGGGAACCCGAGTCCATGGTCCTACCTCTTCCTATGCCTTTGTTCATCTTGGCGGGGAGAGCCAAAAAAGGCCTTGAATTTGGCAGTCAGGCCATAACATGAGTCCTAAGGAATGCCACAGAAAAATAGGACTCTAAAGAGTCACATGACTTAACATGATCTGTTTGTTCAAAAGTGAGTTCTGCCTCAAAAGAGTCAAGAAATGCACGGCGGGCCAGCCCCCTCAGTCACCCCGGTGTACTGCAGTGTCGGAAATGGAGAGATGTCATCCATCCTGTTCACAGTTTGTCTTCACATTTTCTGGCCTAGGAAGATAAATGTTAGCACCTAGAATGTCATGGGAATGGGAAGAACTGTGGAGACCTGCCACAGCGACTAGACATTGGTCCCCAAAACACATCCAGGAGTTGAATTCACTCCAAGGAGTTATCCCTCAAGTGTCCAATTCAACCCCAGTTTAAGCATATGCAGTAGCAACTGCTGAGTTCCCACAGTAGAAACTGTGGAGTTCTTTCGGTCTCTGATTTTTTTTCCTCTTCAATATCCATCAGCCTTTGCTTGGTTTTCCTTCAAAAACTCGCATTGGTTCAGGTTGTCTTGGAAACAGTCCCCTAGCCACCAGAAAGCTCATGAATCTCACACAGGGAAATAAAACAAAGCGAAATCTTCTCTTCTGCTCTGTCTGGATTTCAAGTTTGTCTTCGGAGGGTGTTTTATTCAGTTCCTGTGCATGACAAGTGAAGAGAGGCATGGTCAGAGTGTCTGGGCACCCAGGGTGACTCCCCTGTCTCAGTATTCCATCCTAGAGACTTTCCAGCAGGCTTTCTCTGTTTGGGAGCTGTTGGGGCGGGATATCGCTATGGCAGGTCACTCTACTAGTTATCTGTGCGTGGAATCCATAGGGAAGGGAGATTTTGAAAAGGAGCCTTCCTATGTCAAAGCTGTCAGCAGCTGGGCGAGGTGGCACATGCCTGCAATCCCATGATTTGGAAGATGAGGAAGGAGGATTGAGAGTGGGAAGTCAGCCTGGGCTACCCAGCAACACCCAGCCTCTAGCAAAACAAATCTTCCTGCAAACAGGGGAGGAAAACATTCCCAAGCTATACAGGTAGGAGAAAGTTCTGGAAATGAAACCACAACCTCTCTAGAGTTCTCTGTTTCTCCAGTCATTTTGCCAAGCATCTCTTTGTGACCCTCAAGGCCTGCGCATCAGGTTCTTAGGGACCAAGATTGGCCTTGAGAATGATGTCCCTGAGAATTAACAATGGAAGATAATGTTCAGAATTACAGAAACTAACGTTGGAAATCTCAGCATCGCCTGCTGCTTTCCAGCTACCTCATAGCATCTTCGGGTGGTCCATGCTAGGAAATGGCCTCTTTTCTGGAATTTGGTTCTTTTTTTTATCTGACCAGTCACCTTTCATGTCACACTTGCTTCTTTTTCATGAGAAATTTTCCCCTTAAGGCGTTCCACCCTTTTCAGTTTCCAGCATTAGTCTTTTTGTGAGGAAGTAGGCTGTTTTCTGTTTTACTGGACCACAGTCTTCTGTTCAGCTTTAACATGAAGGACTTGCATTTCTTAACAACCTGCAGGCTCCCTGTAGAGTTGCTTTCAATCAATCTCCTTTTTCCATATTTGAACAAGAAAATCCAAATTTCTGGTCTGAATGGCTGTCCCTCCCAACCACGTCTGCATTCATGAGCCTCTCGTTCAGGGAGTTTAGTAGAAAGAAACGCTTCCTTTTAGAATGGATCTGGACACTTGGCACCATTTTACTGACTACTGAGGCCTCAGAATGGTGCCCTTGGCATTTCCTTTGCTTCTCTATTCATGCTGTCGTGGATAGTGTTCTTTTGCTTAATATTCCTCAGCATCAAGAGCTACCTGTTGAGAATAGGGAGGTATCACAGCCTATAAGTGTTTGCTTTTGAGACCTGATACCTGAGTATGATTTCCCAAACCATGTAAATGTGAAAAAAAGAGGACACTTCCCAAAGTTGTCCCACACCTGAAGTATGTTCATGCCCCTAATAGCTATTAAGGTTAAATAAATGTATATGCATGTGCACGCTTGCACACACACATACACACACACATACACACACACACACACACACACACACACACTACCCTCTTGGACTAGGGATGTAGCTCAGTGCTAGACCACGTTTCTAGCATGAGCGAGGTTCCAGTTCATTCTCCAGCATCACTAACTAAACAAATCTGCTTCTCTGGTTCTAGAAGTTGGTATTTTCTCCAAGATACATAACACAAACAACAGAACTGAGAGACACCGTTGGCAAGCCTCTAGGTCCTGCGGACCGGGTGTGTTAGTCTGGCTTGTCATCCAACAGCACTCTTGACAGGAACAACCTAAGGGAAGGCAGGTTGTCTTGACTCACAGTTTCAGGTTAGCATGGTCGGGATCGGTGGCTGCAACAGCTTCATCTTCTGTGGGGCGAGATCTCACAGAATAACTTGTTCACATCTTGGCAGTTCAGGAAGAGAGTTTGTGTGGAAACCGAATTAGATGTCACCTTCAAGGCCTGAGTTAACTGCTATACCGTCTTGCTGACAGTGTCAGAATCTGAGGACCGAGTGTTTAAACACTGGGCCTGTGAAGGCCATTTCACATTTAAAGCATTACAGTTGGATTGCCAGAAGACTGACTTTTTTTAAATTCATCTATTTTTATTTTATGTATATGAGTATTTTGCCTGCATGCCTGGTACCCACAGAGACCAGAAGAGGGGTTGTGCTCCCTGAAACTGGAGTTACAGGCAATTTTGAGCCACTATGTGTGAGCTGAGAATCAAATCCAGGTCATCTGCAAGAGCAGCACATCCCCTTAAGTGCTGAGCCATCTTGGAAAAATTAGAAATTTTTTTCAAATTGCTATTGTGTGTGTGAGCGTGTGTGTAAGAGAAAAAAGAGAATAATAGGGTGTTTATGGGTGCCCTGTGGGTGTGTCAGATAGGTTGTCATGTGAAAGTCACCGAAAGAACCCTGAAAACTCTGTCTCAGGACACTTGGGAACTTCTCAGTGTTCACATAGAAAGTGTTTACATGTGGGAACAGATTATTAACATCCACTGAGCACAGTTTCCAGCTAGAAATATGCCTGCCCAGATAGAAATGGCTGACACTGTCCCTTCTGGGCTCTGACATGGCACTGATGGACAAGGTTTGGTTCACCTAGGTGTGTTAACTTACAAAAAGGGCTTGGCTGTTTATAAGGAAATTAAGACTTTGTGTCTCCCATAACGCAGGCTGGCATGGAACTCACTGTGTAGCCAAGGATGACCTTGCATTTCTGACCCTCCTGTCTGCGTACACCTCCAAAGTGTTGGGATTTTAGGAGGGTTCCTCTAAGCCCTATTAGAAAGTCCGAGGATTGAACCCAGGGCTTTGTGCACATAAACGCTACATCCCCAGTCTTGACGACACCTAACTGGAGTGGAAATCAAAAATATATTTTCTATATTTACTCTGTGTGTGTGTGTGTGTGTGTGTGTGTGTGTGTGTGTGTGTGCATTTAGGACTCAGTTCTTTCCTATTACCACATGGGTCCTGGACATCAAACTCAGGTTGTCAGTCTTGGCAATAAGTGCCTTAATCCAGATGAAACACTTTGCTACCAAGGTAGGACATGTTTTCAAATTGTTTATTTGTGTGTGTATGTGGGTGGGTGGGTGGGTGTGTGTAAGAGAGAGAGACAGAGACAGAGAGACATAGACACAGACACAGAGAGACAGAAAGAGACAAAGGGTACCACATGGGTACCTGGAGGCCAGAGGGTATAGACTCCCTTGGAACTGCAGTTAGACAGTTTTGACCCATCATATGGATGCTGAGAATCAAACCTAGGTCTGCTGGAAGAGCAGTAACTGCTTAACCACTGAGCCATTTCTCCATCCCTTCCCCAACCCTATCCTTACAAGTATGCCTAACACAGACAGCTCTGTGCTTGTGATACTTTATTCTGTACAATATTTAAAGTCACATATATTAATTTAAATTTAAGTGACTTTACAATTTCTCATCAACTATACTATTAATATCTTTTCAAAGAGCCTGAAATTGATGCAGACTGTAAACACTGTTAAAATCATTCCTCTTGGTATCCAGTAAGCACTTAATGCTTCAACAAATTCATGCCAATGTATACACGCTCTTGTTTTATGAAGACTCTTTCTCATTAAAGGAGGCAGCAGAATGCTAATATTAAAAGTGTGCATTAATTGTAAGACAGCATAATAGCTGCCATGAAATTTTAAAAAGCATTAAAAGAAAACAAAAAAAATTACCCACAACTCAAATACATCAGTCTTCTCTGTGTGAATATACATTTGGGATAATAACAGAAAATTGCTGCTGTGTGGCTGCTTAGTTTTAACTCTTTGTTTTTAGATGTTACCCTGCTGGGGACTAATTCCTGCCCGAGCACTTTAGCTTCCTCCAAAAGCAGCAACTCTACACCGTAGTGTTCAGCATCGCATAAAACTGCACACAGGCAAGATGGAGAACTTTATTCTGATGGTCCTTCTTTTGGTAGCAAACAGTTTACAGTTTGTGCATTGCCTTCTTAGTTCTACTTGACTTGGGCATAATTCTCTTACCTGAGCCGGGACACATATGTTGCTTTTGCTTTTTCCCCAGAAGACACAACATTCCAGAAGCACAGCGGATAGGAAGTCTATGTGGCTGTATTCCAATGCTCCATTGTCCTTTCACCCTTTGGAGGCTAAAAGACTTTGACATGTGACTTCAATAAAAATCTATGAGAAAATCTAAGAAAGGAAAAGTCACCCATATTTGTGTACATATTATGTAGACTTTAAGCAGGTCCCTTTAGGCAGTACATCCAGTGAGCTTGCAGGGTTGACTGGGTTTTGTTTGTGGGGCTGAGGATGCAACC